CTCTCTCTCTCTCTCTCTCTCTCTCTCTCACACACGTCTCTTCTGTGAACGGTGCACGCTGTACCCGGGGTTTCTTAAATAGCTTTCTCATGTTAGTCTAATGGAACATGTTAAATTAGCAGATCATGTTAACGGCTCTTTGAGGATTCATTTTCTGTTGATAGTAACTGCTCTGTGAAGGGAGGAGGGGCCTCTGGAGTATCAATTGGTTGGTTATTACAGTTGTGGGGGAATGATTAGTTTTTTTTTATGGGGAAAATTTGTGTTACTGCGAGGGGATGTATTCACTGTAAAGAATGCCTGCTTTTATACTTTAAAAGAAGTGTCTATGATAGTTAATGTATCTTTATTGCAGCGCTACTAGTGTCTCTGGATTTAATATTCCGTTGTACGTGTGTGTTATAAGGCTGTGACAGACTTCTTTATTTAACACTAAAGTCCTTCATCACTGAGTCACCTTTAATTTTTTCTTCCCAGCCATCCCTGCTCCTCCATCTCTCCCTGCCAATTTCCTCTAAGCAGTTTTGACACACTCATTGCTCCAAGCCGCTCCGGGTGCTCTTTCTGAGTCCTGTTTTTCCCATCATGCATCGCTGTAGACTGTTGCTCCAAAAAACACCATTAAACTTCTTGTCGTGTATTGGCTCGGCTGTCAGTCTGGTGGGTGCTGTAAACCAGCACATTAGAAATTGATTGTGCTTTTACGCAACAGCTCTCATTACGCCCGGAGCTAAATGAGCTGTGCGTGCACGGCGCAGGGCAGTTCATTTTGTTGGGTTTTTTTTTTTTCTTTCACTGAATTGATAGAGCAATTACAGGGAGATGGAAAGAGCTGCTGCGATGAGAGTTACAGCTCCCCGGGTGAAACGCTATTGACGGGAAACGCTACACAAGATGCATATTGTGGGGAATGTGGAGCGTTAATCATCATTATAAAAATGAAACCTGGCTGTAAACAGGCCATCCAGACCTGAAGGAGGTGTCCTGGCTGCGCTGGATGTCTGTACACAGGGTCTGTTGCAATCAAGACAAACCTCAAAATCTTATCAGTGTTGTGGCAATGTTTAGATAGCTGCTCCTCATTGAGCTTTATACCTTTTCATATCTTTTCCACTTAGTTTGCTGTGGTTCCAGTTCCGGGAAACACAGAGCTTAGCATGTGATGAACTCCATCCTGTGTATATATATATATATATATATATATATATATATATATATATATATATATATATAATGTAACCAATATAAGAGAATACTAGATAGCATATTTTGTTTTCTTAGAAAGATTTACAAGCACTTGTTAGTTTATTAAGCACATCTTGTAGTATGTTACACAGCCCTACAATACATTTTGCCTCTATGAAGCTTATAACATTCAGTTTTTGTTGAAACTGTTATTGAGTTTTGAGTTGAAAAGGGTTGTTTCTAATAAGTGGACAAAATATTAGAAATATAAGAAAATATAATTCATATATTCCTATATTTCAGGGCTCTTAAGACACTCTCTCTTGAGACAACATTCGGTTTAGCTAATAAACTGGCAACTTAAAGCTGCACTAATCGATATTTTTTTATAATAACTGATCAAATGAACGTGTGTATATAAAAGGGGTCGCTCATAGTGACAAAATCACAGGGAATTATCACCCAACTCTTCATTGTTTTGGTTTTATGGCCCGCAACTTTTCTTTTTCGGTTCAGTCTCACCGCTCTCATTTTCAGACAGTAGGCAGCTGTTTTTTGTTTAAAAGCTATAATTAACTGACTTTGCTACCTGTTCATCACTGAACAGGAGGTAGACTAAGGTACTACTAGCTGGTGAACATAGTATAGCACTTAACAGCTAAAGACCCAGATATTTCCCTCTGGAGCAGAGCTAAAAAGAGACCGGATTGTCATCTGGTGACTGCAAATGACTGCTGTTTTTCATATCTGCTGGATATGTAAATATGCTGTTTGATAGCACATTAAACTTTATATAACCCAACACTGACATAATAATTAAAATGTCAGTTACAACTTGTGGCACTGGCCTCAACCAGAAAAAAGGTTTAAAGTTAGAACTTGCTTAGTTACATAACCTTGAGTACACATCAAAGATATATTACAGCTTTAAAGGACCACCTTCACCCTCCTCTTCCAAACGCAAAAGAGAAACCACAGTGGCTGCGGAACGCGTGAAAAGGAGAAAAAACAGCCAGTTTGTGGTTTGTCCCTTCTGGGCTACTGTAACATGGTGGTTCAACATAGCGGCTACCACGGTGTATGTAGATAAAAACAGCTAATTCTAAGGTAACAAAAACATAACATGCATATTTTATTTTATTTCTGCCCTCCTAAATCTTACACACTGACCTTTAAAAAATTCTCAGAGGTAGAAATGATCTCATTGGTTGAGCAAAACCTGTAGGCGGAGCCAAAGAGCCACAGTCACTGAAGCTCAAAGATGTTCGCCTAAAGCTCATAAAAAGAAAACTCAATACAGAAATGGTTGATCGACCGGTCCTTCCTTTGTCAAACAAGCTCCTCCGTTAGATAAATCAAGTGCAGAAAATTTGCTTCTTCTGCACTTCCCAGGAAAACTGAGGTTTATCTAATCAGCCTTTTTCACAGCAGACACTTTGACTTGTCACAGAGAGCAAAGCACAGATGTGACTAATAACATTAACAATCGCCCCCCTGTTCTATTCAAGTGAGTCCCACTTTGCTGTATGTGGAGGTTCCTATGTCTGACCTGAAACCAGACTTTCAAGAAGTAGTTAATCAGCAGATCTATACATGGGCTGGAATCTGCTGACTAAATCTTTTGTCAATCACAAATTCAAGCAGGTATTGGTGCAGAGTAATATACATCATGATTACTGTCACATGTTCTCTTAGTAATCAGACAGAAACTAATGACAACGGTCCATATGGATGAGGCATTCTCTGGAAAAAAGGCTGCAATTTATGTAACAGGAAATATTGATATTAGTTTCTTCTTTTTTGGTTCTTTGGCTCCACTTTAAGAGCCGGCAGTGAGATTATGTCTGTATGTGTGCATGACTAATATTTATGGCAGCGTTTAAGCTGCAAGCAGGCAGTCTGCACCTTCATCCCCCCTCGACCTTCAAAGCCTCTTTTTAACCATCTCTCTGATGGTCTCCTCTCCTCCTTCTCCTTCCTTTGCAGCTGGGTAATCATCTTTCATCAGGGGGAGGTCAGATTTGCTGACTCAGAGTAAAGGATGAAGATGAGGGGGGAGAGGGTGGGGAGGAGAGGAGAGGAGGGAGAGGAGTTTTCCTGGGTTGCTGCTGAGGAAGAGCTGCAGTAGTTTGCAGCCAGAATACTCATGAGCAGCTGAGCCTGCAACACATTGTCCTCTCCCTCTCTCCCTCCCCCTCTCCCTCCCTCCGGTGTCTCCCTACAGTATTACACGGACACAGTAACATCTCTTGCAGCCAGAAGTCCGGACTAGTGTCTGTCTCTGTGTGTGTGTGTGTGTGTGTGTGTGTGTGTGTGTGTGTGTGTGTGTGTGTGTGTGCAGTAACCCGGCCTGAGCCTGACATCAGCGCCTGCAGCTGTCAGGGTCCGGCCGGGGGATCAGTGCTCCTCTGCAAACTGAAACTTTGTAATCCAGGTGTTATGCGGGCCGGTTAAACCCAGGTGAACGTGCAGCTGCAGCCGGGGTCACCGTGCTGATCCCCGGGCGGCTGTGTGTTGAGCCATGCCGACGCCTTTGGGGATCCCAAATGGTGATGGATGGGAGCATGATGGTTGCTGTCAGCAGGTTGGCGCATTGCGAATTTACTGCTGCCATGTCCTGACCATACACACACACATACACACACACACACACACCTCTCTCTGTGTCGGACAGGATGCATGAGCATCCCCCCCACCTCTATTGCCATAACAACATGCAGTGCCACAATAAGGCTCGGTTTAAGGGTAACTGTACAGCACAATGGGGGAGTTAACAAGAGGAAACTTAGATTTTAAAGCAGAAAATTGTTAGTGGAGGAGTGGAAAACCCGAAAACGCGCCGACAGCGCAGCAATTACTGGCGTTTAGACGATTGCAGGTGGCATCAGGTCCGCGGTCAAGCTAGACACATGTAACCAGCGTAACACAGGAACTCGAGTGGTATTGCCTTCAAAATAAAAGCACAACAGAAATTGCTTTTCGAAAACAAATGTATGTGTATTTTTTGAGTCACATATTTAGCAGGTAGCCAAACTGTGAATATGTTCAGTTTGGTGAAAGTGAGGTATCCCTTTGCATTTTAGTTGATTTGACTGTTATAATAACATAAATCTCCCTCAAAAGCAGTGAAACCACTAAATCATTAGAACATTAGAAATATTAGAAACAGCCTAACTAAACTTCCTACAAATAGTTTGACTTGTGGCCACTGGGTCTCTAAACACCGAACTCATTCTGTGCTGGTTGTATTACATTTTTAATTGTATCAAATATATTATTGATACATATATATTATGTATTATTTTGTTTTGTTTGTTCTTTTGCTTATTATATACACACATTTCTATGAATAATAAAAAATCCTATTCATATTCACCGTGTCACCTAGTAGTTTACACAGATTTGAGGTTTCTTGCTTTGATTTTCCTGTTTCTGATGTTTATTTTATGTTTTATATTCATGTCGTAAATTATACAACTTTTTTTTTTTTTTACAATTAGTTTTAGTTGTGGTAATAATAGTGGTAATATATACACTTTGTTATTGTTTGAACATCTTAATAACCACTATAAACAGCGAATGTTTTAAAGAGTTCGGTCGAGACCTACTCTATTTGAAAAGTGTCCTGAGATAACTTCTGTTATGAATTGGCGCTATACAAATAAAACTGAAGTGAAAATTGAATTAATGTCTGCATGCCGCTACATTATGTAAATCAACAGACGTTTATTTTGAAAGGCCCGACGACAAGTGCTCGTATCTCCTCGTGACATTGACAGTATGTGTCCAGACGGCCGGAGAGGGAGGGAGGAGGGAGGAGGGAGCGAGAGAAGAAGAGGAGGCAGGGACACGGTAACCTGCAGGAGGACTCACATGGTCCTGCAGCAGCGGAGCACAGACCACCGGGACTCTCCAAACCTCTCACAATCAGCTCGGCTCCATTCTTCTTCTTCTTTTTTCTTTTTTTTCTAAATTCTCCGTTTTTTATTTCTTTTCTCTCTCTCCCACCCCCCCGACCCCCCTCTCCTTTCCTCACATCCCTCCTCCCGCAGCCTAGTGTCGGTCGGACTCGGGCCGGTAAAGCAGCGCCATGGCTCGGGAGAACGGAGACACCGGCAGAGGAGAGACGTGGAAAAAACAAGTCGACGACATCAAGAAGATTTTTGATTTTAAAGAAGTCCTCGGCACGTGAGTTGGCTAACTTCCCCTCTGATATCTCCGTGATATTTTCACAATAATACTCCCACCGGGGCTTAGTGTACATGTGGGGCTCCATAGTGAGTTTACAGTGACCTTAACGCACTTATTGCCAATATTACAGCCCTCCAGTGATATTATATTGACACTGAAACTTTCAACATTAACTTTTAGCTAAATACTCGAACTGTACATTCATTACTTTTAGCTATTTGAACCCTTTACCCGCGTTAGCTGTCAACTGTTTATCCCTTACTTGTAGCTAACTGTAAGCATTTATCCTGGCTGGTTTCCACACACACTCAGTCGCGACACGTTGTGTTCAGGTACAGTTGACCCAGTAGGAGTGTGTATGTCCTAATAAAGGCGTAATTTCTCATTTTTTATGTTACCTTCTGGTCACTTGGGGCACAATACCCCCTGGTTGTGAATCACTGCCATATGGTATCATTACATCAGGTGTAACCTATTTGTAATGTTTCTCAAAGGACTCATATTTACACATCATTGCTATAGAAGCCACATCATGAAATTCCTACAAAATTCCTCATACAAAATGCCTATAAACTCTGTGTTCAGTATTCCATAATGAATCTATGGCAGGTTCAGTGACCCTCTGAGCATTTCTTTTTGATCTCTTATATTCCCACATTGTTCCTGTGCTTTTGATGTGGTCTGCTCTGCCTCATGTGGTGTGTGTTCAATGACATAGGATAACTGTGGTGCTCATAAAGTGAGCTTATAATGATTCAGTGGTTCATCCTTTTTGGCACATTCTGCAATATTCCGAGAGGGGATATTCTTGTGGATGACAGCGAGGCTTCGACAGACCGCAGGAATTTCAGCCTCTCAGCAGCAGTAATGGTGTCACTGTTACACCCTTTTTGTAGTTGGTGTCGGGACTCTTTCACGTGGGTCATAAAGGAGGTTTTTACTCTCCAGCTCCATGTTCGGAATTTTGTTCTCTTCCTCCTCTCCTTCCTTGCTCCATCTGCACTCTCCTCCTTCAAACAGCAGCAGAATGCAGGTCGACCCCCCCCCCCCAATCCCTGACAGCCAGTCCCACTGTAAGCATCTTGTCTGGCCCCTCTGCCTCCCCTGCTGTGAGGAGTGAGCTGCGTCTGTTTGGACGGCAGCCCGGAGGGGGACACGCGGGGCGGATGCAGATTGGGATTAACTGCGCAGGGATTAGGAAAACTTCCCCTGAATAGGAGGAAGTTAAATCATGTTGTGTAATGACAGAATGAGGCAGTCTGGCTGGTGTTTGTTACCCCGAACACACCTGAAATTTGGAAAGGCACACACTAAGGGTGCAGAATGGCACCGGACTCAATGATCCGAGTCGGCCATGTTGTAGCCACACATTAACCAGAGCTGCTGACGGATCTTTGAACCTGATGCATCAGCAGAAAGGAAGAATGGGGGAGTGCATGTGTGTGTGTTTGTGTGGGAGATGGGGAAGTTATTTGGCATCTAAAGGAGGATGGCGGACAGGAGGAGGAGGAGAGTGGTGGTGACTCAGTTGGAAAACAGATGAGAGTTTCTATCAGGGAGAGTAAGGATGAAAACAGCAGCCCGGAACCAATCAAAAACATGTAGTTGTCCAAAGTGTGCCAGCTGATTGGACGATTGGCCAAAGAGACGCTGTCAGCAGCAACAGTGAAAGTGGTAGAAATACATACGTGTGGGAAAACCGAAGCTTGAGACTCGTCTGAGCGTTACTGCAGTGATGAAGGTTTCTGCGTCAGTGTTTCTGAGCTGCATCTGTACTGACAGGATGTGATGTCACAGATGTGACACTGAACCCATCATATTTTGTCTCCTCACACGGGGTCACCCTAGCATACACTGGCTAGCGTGAGCATTTTTGTGCGTGTGTGTGCACTTCCAACCTCACTTCTGTTCTGGGTCTCACTGTGTGTGACATACCATAGCCTGTCCCCTAATACTGGATTAATATCGCCAGTATTAGTTTATCCTGGCAGATCCTGTATGTGTGTGTTTGTGTATGTGTGTGTGTGTGTGTGTGTGTGTGCAGGCAGGCGGGCATGTACATGAGGCCCTCCTCGGTGTCTTATTACCCTCCCCTGGTGTGTATTCTGTGTGCGTCCGTGTTGCTCACTATTCAATAATTCAGTACCAACAGGGGTGCGTTCTTTGTGTGTGTGCACACGTGTGCGTGTGTGTCAGGTAGGCCTCGGCTCTCAGCAGGAGGGATCAAAGTAAGAACAAGTGCTAAAAAGATGATGAAGAAGAGAGAAAGCTGAAGAGATGGTTGAGGAAGGATGGGTGTGTACTTTTGTCCCAAGTTTTAGCTTTAGACTCTGAGTAAGAGGCTGGAGGTCGGGGACTAAATGGACACAGTGGAACGTCTTACAAGTAGCTCTGCAGAAAGACAAAGGGGGGGGTTGTGTGAGTGAGATGGAGATAGAAGGTAAAGTGGTGGCTGTGATGGTGATGCATTGTGGGAATGTCACTGTGTGTGCCATCTAGGCCACTCTGCCCTTAATTGATGCTCTACTTCCCTGCTGCTGGCACTGTTCTCTCCACTGTTTCTGGGACTGCAGAACCCCCCCTCCCTCCATCTCCCTGAGTGTCCCTGTGTTAAACTCGAACAAGTTGACTCTTCTTTTCTTTTCTTCCTTTGCACAGTGTAGAAGAGGACACAATGCAGACTTTGAAGTTTCTATTCTCTTATCCCTGTTATAAATAACGTCTTATAAATAGAACAAAAGATGATTGTTTGCAATGTGACAAAACCAACTTCATCAGTGGACTGCTGGCCCGCAGTGTGTGTGTGTGTGTGTGCATGTGCATATGTGTGTTTCTAAATTAGTGCATGCGCGTGCACATTCACAAACACAGATTTCACCACACTAGAGTGAAATTTGAATACTCGCAGTATGTCGGCAGGCTTATCCTCTGTTCATCTATCCATCTGTTCCATCCTCTTCTCTTTTTCTGCCAGTTTTTTCTTCAGTCCTTCTCTGGGGCTGCTAAACTGTGATTGGTTGTCGTTTGCTGCTGCTGATTTTGCTATAATGAAACAGTTGTTGTTGATGGCATTGGTAATGTCATCAGCGACTATGTTGGTGGGGATCTGCGTTGTTACTGTGACGATTTGCTGATGATGTTGTTAGCATTGTTGACAAAATAATCTTAACTTAAAGTTCACTTACTAGATTTTCCCCAAAGCTTTCAACCTCATCGTCTTTTGAGAGTTTGCTCAGTTGTCATGTCAGTTGCCAACTGGGCAAACTCCACCACATAGATGAAGACTGTGAGAGGCGGTTGAAAGTTCTGAAGGGGAAAAACACAAAAAAAACTACAAAAAATAAGGAAATGTAGGTGGTGGGCCGATCAGGTTATAAAGTAGTTTTAAAACTTACAGTAGGGGTGGGCAATCTGGCCAAAAACAAACATCACAATCTATTTAATCGCAGTCCCAATCAGGATCTTTTTTCTCAAATTTGAAATGCCCTGTTAACCTGTGAATTTCTCCATTTGCACCATTAAAACACAATATTGTATTGTACTGAGTTTAATGTGAAGCTCTAAACCGAACACTAACTATAACATAATCATAAAATAACAACTCAGTTGCGCTGTTTACAATACGTCACCCAAGGAGGAGCCACGTGAAGTAATTCCAAGTCCAATCAAAATAGCCACCTAGCTGGCTATGTCACTCTAAGGGTTGGTTCACGTGGCGCGGATCTGCTACTCACTGAGGTTATGTGAGGTTATGGACTGAAGAGGAGCATTTCCACAACTTTAACTTAAAGAAATATTAATATTACCAATATGAATTCTAGACAAAACTACAAAAATGAGACCAGGTTGTTGTTGTTAATCTCAAATGATGCTTTATTGTTGTTGTCGCCTTGTTGACGACTCTGCCGGTGATCCTATTGTCATTGACATCATTGCTGACGTTGGTACTTTGGTCTGTCTTCTAGTTTTAGATGAGCTGAGGATTTCAACACAGATTAACACTGAATATGCTGATCTCAGTTTGGCATCTCAGTGCTACTAAATTTGAGCTACAGTCATGTCACACAGCTCGCCCCCACACACACACACACACACACACACACACACACATACACACTCTTACAGACACACACACACACACACACACACTCTTACAGACACACACACACATGCACATTGAGCAGGACATTTAAAAGCAGCAGAGGGGCAAAGACACTTTTTCCTCTTCGTACACGCAGCAAATAAAACACTTGCATTAGCCAGCTGTCAGGTCTTTCCTCATCACTCAATGCATTTAATGTGTGTGTGTGTGTGTGTGTGTGTGTGTGTGTGTGTGTGTGTGTGTGTGTGTGTGTGTGTGTGTGTGTGTGTGTGTGTGGAGGGGGAGGGGCGCCATCCATCTCTCTGCACAGATTGACACGTGTGTCCAGACCTCTGAGTATTAATGATCATAAACTTTAGTCCATTATCGGATCAGCGCTCTATTTTAAGCCTCTCTGCGACCACATCCAGCTTATAACGGCCCCGTGATGAAGGCCTGTTGTCTCCGTGTGCGGTGTGTTGCTGTTCATGTATGTAAACACAGCCACGTGTTCCAAAAATTCAGACATTGAATGTAAATGTGTGAACGCATCACTGTGTGTTCCAAAAAACAAAACAAAACAAAAATCATTAAGTGTAAGTTGAGCCATTTTCCATCTTATAACACACACTGCCAAAAATGTGACATGTAAAACACTTTTTACTTGTAACCTTTTACTTTGCCACTTTATTACAGTAGCATTTACCTAATTTTGTGTCATTTGCTTTCCATAAAAAAAGGCATTACGCAATCAGAAACACCACACGTGCCATTTTTGTCTGGAGCAGCTTGCCCTGATATCCCACTGTGACTCAGTATTTGTCCGTCATGGAAACAAGACACAATGCCTTGTGTTCTACTGAACGACTCTTTCAACAACACAGCTGAAGACGGAGATGTTGCACTGAGTGAACAC